TTCAATTACATTACAGGAGAGACCAGGAGAGATGATACTGAAATCATTATAGGGTAAATCCAACTTCTAGAAGGCAGAATGTGTGTGTATTTTATAAAAAAAAAACAAAAACACTGTGTGTTTGTTGGCTTGTGTCCACTATATATGCAGAATGACTGCAACCCAGTCTCACAGCAAAATGTATAATGGCCGCATTGGGCTGCAAAAAGTACTGGTCTCACAATAACGCCTCAAAAATTGTGACATGGCAACATCTTTCTGGCAGCTTAAATGAAAGACACTGGCATTTCTTATACATGGTGAAGTTTAGGCACAGCAGCTACATGGTTATGGTTAAAGAAAAACCCTGGATTTGGATAAAACAGAACTTCAAATGTCATCAGAGATGGGACTTGATCTGGTAGTCTGCGTGAAAGTTTGGCATTTGTTTGACCGATTCATCCGCTCCTTCAGGCAGATTTCCAGTGTTTTTAAAGTTCTGTAGTTCAAAACCATACATCTCCAATAAACACTATGGGTACATATCATGTCTCTTATAAAATTGTTCCTATGTCGTTGGTCCTTGGTCGACCCAGAAGTTGTTTCAGTCAACTGAGGACATAGGATGTTCCAAGTCTCTTATATCGGCTGGTTGACCATCCTTCATGAAGTCTTTTTGGGTACTGACACACCTCTTTATCAGAAATCAGTTGGTGATTGGATGCTTCAGATGAAGGATCTGACGAAAAGACATCTCATGTCATTAATAACATGTTTGCTAGTGTCCTCTACTGATATTTTCCTCGCATCTTACATGGGCAGGACTAAGACAAGCAAAAGATGCAAGTGAGGGAAATGACATGGCTTATGAAAACCTCGGGATGTACCCAACATGTTAGTTTCCTAATGTTCACTCCAGTACAGTTGGTGGCAGTAATGCACCATTTCGTTGTTTGCCAACTGCCATAAAACACCAAGGAGAAGAACACAAAGAAGGACACTAGGCTGCAATACAATAAATAAATATAAATCCATGTCACAAATCTAGAACTGTTATTCTGACACTAATTAGCTTTACACTGTGGACCAACATAGCTATTCTACATTTTCATGTGAGACCGGGCTGACGACTGTATAGTCACAATAATTTTATAACTATAATGTCAATATCAGTGTATTCCACAATAAATAAGACTTGTTTGATACGTTTCCAGAGAACCTTGTGGCTGCAAAGATGTTAGTCATCCATATACTGTGGTTGCTGCTTTAGAGCTGTAAACTAGTAAACAAATTACCTTTGGATGCAGCAACCTGCTAAGATACAGGGTAGAGGGTGATAAAAGATTTCAGCTTTCAGAAGAGAACAAAGGCAAAGAAGAAAGGAACATAACCAGTTCATCTATGTCTGACCTGACAGCGACAGAGAGCACATTAAATAGCAGGTACCTCTATTATGCTGCCAGAACCCATATCAAGTACTAAACAGCTCATTCACAGGCAAAATAGGAGCTCTCAAACACCCTGCCAACATTACCTAAAATATGACTGCATTTGTGTATGTGTTTAGTGCATGAAATTCTGTCATTCTATTCAAATCAAAATAGCCGGGCTGAAGTAGCAGTCAAAATCTAGGGGCTCAGATTATGCTGATTTCAGTTCTTCTCTTTTAAAGACCTGTCATAGTAATAGTTAGCAGTGGAGGTGCTTCCCAAACATGCAATAATCCAAAGAAAAAAACTCACTAATCAATCAAAAATATAATAGCACAGGGGCTAAGAGAGAGAATTTTGTTCTTGCGTCATTCCGGGTTGAGCTTTCATTGAAAATAATGGGTACAGGTGTTTTGATACAGGTTACAGGCTGCCCATGTGAGGTGCCCTTTGCTCTACTACTTTTAAAAGCCAACCAAATAGAGAAACCTTCTTATATCAGGTCAGGCTATCTTTTGTTAGATATATCTGACTGTCACCTAAGTGGTTTCCACCTACATTGTTCTAAAACATCGGCTATATATAGGTCAGAGCTTACTGTAGGTTAGAGACAGACATTGAGATATGACTGACAGAAAACAGAGGTTGAGGAGGGATTTGCTTACCTGCCTTGTGTACCTGAGAGACAGTAGAAAGATAAACTTCAGGTATCTATCTTCTGGAGCCTCTTGACTGTCTGCCTGTTTGCTAATACATTTAGGCTATCTACAGTATGTGCTCTATTACCGCGCTGGTCTAAAGTCAGCTTTACACTCTTGTGTGCATCATTACTACATTATCAAAGGCAGGATTCCACTGTACTGCATATCTACTATAGGTAGGCGTGAGTGTGATGACTGGCAAGAGGATGAAAAAAGATTTAATTAAAAAATTTTTACAATTCTGAAACGCAACAAGTCATGAGAAACTATGTAAGTATGGATAATAGCTATAAACCTTGAATAAATACTGTACAAAATATTTGCATGCATGTCTACGTGTGTAGGATAGAAGAGAAACACAGATATTTAAAGGCAGAAAAAGAAGCAGGAGAACAATGTAGAGAACAGGACAAAACTGTGTGTGGTCAGGGACAACTTAGGAGGAGGTGGCACACACAGAGCAGTTAGAGAAGTTGTTAGCGCTGGCATTTGATATTATCACAGTGACACTGATAGAGAAACCCAGTGGGGGAGTATGAGGGTCAAGAAGCTGGGGAAAATATGTGTGTGAGTGAGTTGTTTTGGGGAGGGTTGTTCTTTAAGCCATGATGGTCCAGTTGCTTAGACAGCAGCTCTGTACAGATGCACCTCTGGCAAAACATTTTGGTTTGTCGATCGAGAGAGGACTACCTGTTGCGCGTAGGGAATGTGAAACACCTCTCCCACATTGTGGGCTCACTTCATCATTTCATCCAATAATGGGTTTGGGTTGTGGCCCATCTGCTGTTCTATCAAAACATTATTTCTGGTGATAGTCGTCACTCTTTGTATCCAGTCTCTGCTGCTGGCTGCCTGAGTGTGTGGATGCTATAAATCTGGTCAGCTCATTAGCACTGACAGAGGGAATGCTAGCAGCCCACCTGCTCCCCTTCACCCTCTTTATGGCTCTACAAATTAAAACAACATTTACGCACACCCTCCCCCTCTCACTCTACTCCACTGCTCACCTTGCCACTCACATTGCTTCATCTGGTCACTTCTGAATTGCATCAGCCACATCAACATACCACTGTTTCAACAACCCTTAAGCCCTTTATGTTGTTTCCTTTCAGCTTCTCCCAGTCTGTTTTGTGACACTTTGCTTGTGTTAAATCTCATTATGTGAATCCTTTTTCTTTCTGTCATCACTCCTCTTTTAATTTTACTGCAACGTCATCCTTCACATCCATCACCCTTTCCATCTTTTGCTCTGCGTGCTAAAGTTCAGTAACACGATCTAGTAGTGCTGATGGCATTCTAACCCCGAGTTACTGGGGCATGTCCAGTGAGTGACAGCGTGATGGAATGATGTCGCAGCATGTTTGCCTTGCCCGCTAGAGGTCTGTTAGGGTCACAGAGGTAATGAGGCCATAAAAATGCAGGTAATGAAAGTTGTGGGGAAACAAGATAAGGTAAAGAAAAGGGGAGAGGAAGGGGAAACAGGGTACAATAAATAAGAAACTGACTCCTGAACGAACACAGTTTCTAAAACTTCCACTTTAAGTGAGGAAGAAGGCTGGAAGGCTTTAATGAAGAGTTCTCTGTGCACAGATTGGACAATGTGCTGCATTGTTATTGCAACACAGTCATAAAAATATGAATGAATTTGCTGTGTCTCATTTATCAAGCAAGGCACACAAACAAATAACTTCACTGAGATTTCTGGTAAAACACATCCCACCTGCATTAGTCTCAAACTGTGATTACATACACAGTGTCTGCATATTTCATTTAGTTTTATCTCATTATTGCGGTCTTCAACTATTTCCAGTTTAAGGAAGGAGTGCATGATACTCACTGCTGTACAGTATCTAGTGTTTCAAGGAATCTGATCTATTGTCACATCCCACTGCCTCAAATAAAAAAGCTTACATTTTGTTAGCACTAGGAGGGCAGGGCTGACAAACAGTAATTCACTGAGTGATGCTAGGAAAGTAACAGCTGAGGGTCAAACACAGCTCTGTTTAATGGCTTTCCAGAGGCTAAACTGAAGCCTATTGTTTGCAGAGCTTGGAAAGTCTGTATGTGGACTATAGGTGAGTCCCACACAACTGAGCATTGGTTGCACTGGCCTGAGAAAACCTTCCCTGGTGGGTGGTTTAAACAGTCCTTCTTTCTCCCATTTATTTGCCTGACTTGGATTGGGGAGAGAAAAAGCCAGTGGCTTTGAAGATTTGGTGAAGACTCAGAAAGGGGTATGTGCTCAATATAAACACAACAAAATATGTGGATGTGTGTGTGGATTTCAGCCTCTGTTTGAAGTCCTCCACTCCACTCTGGCAATTACTTCATATCAAGGATTAGATGAGGGAGAGGGCAGAGAGGAGAGCGAACGATGGAAAGACGTGAGAGCTGAGGAAGGAGCTAGCAGATTCAGAGAGAGGACAGAGGAGAAAAGAGATTGAGGTCCCTACTGCAGTTAATGTTTTTCTTCCCTATAAAAGACGCTGTGCACACTCTCTAAACATGAGCTAGAAGACAACTTAAAATCGTGGCAAGATCACAGGTGCAGCAAAATGCAGCTATTTCCAGGGCAGAAGAGACCGAAAAGCACCATGAATAGTTGATGATCACCATATGTAGCCGCCATGCAGTTACTACTGTTACACTGGTCATAGGATTGAGGTGAATTTCCTGTTTTCTCTCCTCTTCTTAAATTCCAGAAACAAACCACTGTCATCCAAGGCATTCTGCATCTTCCTCTCACATTCATATGTGAGAGGAAGATGCTCTTTGAAAAGTCAAGTTTTTCTGCCTGCATCTCTGTTTTGATGTTCATAAAACAACAAACAATATAACATTTGTTTTGCATAAGATGAATTACTAAGTTAATAACATCTGTCATCCTTACCTCTGGGATTTGGACGGTATAAGGCTGTCCATGGAAGGTAGGCGCATTATCATTTACATCTCCAATCTGGATATTTACAGTGTCTCTGACCACCTGGGGGAGGAAATACCTTGGTAAAATGGCCACCTCTGCACATTAATGACAGAACTGTAGTCAATGAAAATGTGTTTTAGCCACATCAAGCCAAGAGTCAGTGTGTGTGTGTGTGTGTGAGGGGTGGGGGAGACAAGTGTGTGATAGATTACCCCGCAGGGGAGAGTAGGTTGAATGTCAGTTTGTTTCAGCAACTAAACTACACAGAGACAGGTGTCAGAATGATTAGATATGAGAAAAAGAAATAAAAGTGAGAATGAAACTGAGAGGCAGAAAGAGATGGATTGAGAGAGAGGGTCTCTATGTGACATGAGGTCAGGCTATAACCTGGTGTCAGCCTGTGATGGGAGGTGTCCTAACTGTTATCACAATGCAAATCTGTTTCTTACCTCTTGAATGTCACTCACGTAGAAGACGACCTGCATCTCTGACTTGGTCTGGTGGAGGCAGAGACACACATCAGCACAAATTCTGCATTAACATATGGTGCAAAGGAACGGTGCGAGAAAAGCAGAACAAGACATAGAAATGCCTCTGAACTCAGCCCTTTCTTCTTCATTACTCTACCCTGAAGAGTATTGCACTTTTCACTGCTTTCATCATTGGATAATTTACATTCCATCTCTTACTTTCAAAACTGTTGAATGTCTTGTCTGGTACGTAGAGCATTTGCTTTGGTAATGTGCATGCATGTTCGGTGCTTTTACCTCACGGTCGAGCTGCTGTCGAAGCCAGACCACGCCAGTTTCTTGGTTCACTGAAAAATACCTCATGGCCTCTTCTCCTGAGATCCCAAACATCAGAGGCTCCCCCTCAGGATCAATTGCCTGCAGCTGGGCCACTGATGAACCTGCCAGACAGAGTCCAAGGTTGTGGTCAGTCATATACAATGACATTATATCTATGTACTATGCTCTCTTTCTATTCACAGAGGACATAAATTAACACACACACAGCTTAAATGTAGACACATAAGGATATAAAGTATGACTGTGTAGATATGGTGTGATTCTGAGGATTATCCAAAGTTGCTAATATAAGAGCTGTACAATGGCTCAGTGTCAAAATGTTCTGGATTGGTCAGTTTACTCCACTTTCCATCCATCTTGAAAGAAACCTGAGTCAATGTCCCCATTGTCAAGGTAAACATGATATAAACACACATTTGAAACCAGAAACGTCTTTGTGCATGTTTGTCCTTTGATGCTGACTTCAAGCAATGTATGGTGGAATAGGCTTCATCTTAAATAGAAATAAAAAGGTGCTGAATATGAGCACAGGACTAGCATGCATTCATCTTCTCTCTCTCCTTGTAGGTACTTTCCCAGATCATACTCTCCTAGACTCTCCCAAACTAAATCAAGCCTGTCACTTGCACACCAAAATGCTTAACACAACAACCAATTAGGCTTCACAATCACACACCCCTCTCATTTTATTAATACACCTCATTTTCCTATGAAAAGGTGGTAAAAATGACTAATTAATATAACGATTTATGAACCCCTCTCATTGCGTGTAATGAGATTTATGCAAATTCAGCTGCTTTCAATATGAGTTATAATTTGGTGGAAGACGGTGCAAATTAAGCATTTTACCTCATAGTCATCAATAATAATAAAAAAAAAATTTCCCCTCCTTCTTCTGGACCTCTCGACTGTGGAGGATTTGTCTGCTCTCTGCGGGTAGACATACACTCAAGGATAACAAAATGCTCATTTGAGAATAACACTAGGTATGAGAGCCACAGTCTTGTGGAAGATTAACTCTTACTCTGGAAATAAGAGGCAAAGACCAACGCATTAAACATCCATTCATCCATTATCTATACCACTTATCCTGTAGAGGGTTGCAGACGGCTTTAGCCAGTCCCAGTCGACATTAGACTGGTTGCCAGTCTATCAACAGGGCTGACACAGAGACAAACAACCATTCACACCTACAGGCAATTTAGAGTCACCCAACCTAACCTGTATTTCTTAGAACTATGGCAGAATGCTGAGGTACCTGCATACATCAGTGACTTTTATTCTATGTTGTAAATACTGAAGACATCAGAACTATGAATAATGCATATTGAATAATGTAGTAAGCAAAAAAAGTTTAAAACAAAACAATTTCATATTCATATAATTTTTTTAGATTCCTCAAAATAGCCAATGTTTACAGTACCTTGATGACAGCCTCACACACGACTGGGAATACCTTAACCAGCTTCAGGAGGTAATTACATGAAGTGGTTTTCAGTTAACAGGTGTGCCTTATCAAAAATTAATTGCTGGAAAATATTAGCTTCTTAATGCATTTGAGACCATCAGTTGTGTTGTGCTGAGGTGTTTGTATCCAGTAAACAGCCATATTCAGCTAGTGTAGTAATCCATATTATGGTAAGAACCCCTCAAGTAAGTAAAGAGAAGTGACAGTTCTTTACTTTTAGACATGAAGGACAGACACTTCAGAAAAAACCAGAGCCCAGGAGGAAGAAGAGAATTGCTCGGGCCAAGAAACGCAAGGAATGGACAACAGACAAATGGAAATGTGTACCTAAAATACACCTTCACGCTATGCAAGGGCTATTTGACCAATAAGGAGAATGATGAAGTGCTGCATCACATGACCTGGCCTCCACACAAGTCCTCCAACCTAAACAACACTGTATACTGCTAATCTTCTGGTTAGGAGGCAACCTGCTTTACCTCCTGAGCCACAGCCGCTCCAGTGGCACTATCATGGAACACTTAAACACACTGTTATGGTTATTGAACAGTCATGGTTTGGTTAGGTTTAGGCACAAAAACAACTTGGTCAGGTTTAGACTGTGGTTTGGGTTAAAATAACTACTCTACAGGCCCTTTGTTATCATGATTACAAAAATAAATATGTGGAATGTAGTGCAATGGTCATGGATCAACAAAAAAAAAACATTTCACAGTGGAACCTAATAGCAGTCTTCTGTAGGAAAGTCCTGTGTTTTCTGATCAATCCATCCAACCCAAACTCCTCTCGAAGTGGATTTTGTAACAGTATACTATGTCAAATTACCTCCATAACTTGTGCCATAATTACCACAAGCACTAGAAATCACTGAACAATAACACATAATTGGTGGGCTTAATAAGCTGCTGGTACAAATGACCCATGGATTTTTTTTTTTCCAATAGGGAGAAGATCTTCCTCTACAGTCACCCAACCTAAACCTTACAGAGATGGTTTGGGATGAGTTGGGCCACAGAGTGAACGTGTTCAGCATATGTGAAAGCACCTTGTATTTGGAAATGTTCTGGTGACTACTGGTGAAGCTGGATGAGAGAATACCAAGAGTGTATAAAGCTGTTATCAAAGCAATAGACGGCTAATTTGAAGATTCTAAAATTTCATACTGTTTATACTTTTTCGCCTTCTATGCAATTCCATGCACGTGTGTTATCTCGTAGTTTTGATGTCTTCAGTATTAATCTGGAAAGATTCTTTGCTCAGATTAAAACAAAGTATGCAGTTTGGTGAGCTGGACTGGAATGTCTAATAATAACAATAATCTAGAATATTCCAACTTCTACTGAATAAGTATGTAGTTTATTACTGAATTTTTTTTGTCATATGTTACACACACATCATGAGTAAGTACCGAGATTTGGTTTGGGTTAACTTTTAATTCATTAGGACTGTTTAAGATCTATTTTTCTTAAAAGGGTTAGATTTACAGTTAGAATAAACCGAATAAAGGAAAGTTGAAGGTCAAGGTTTGGTTAGAACATTGCTATAATCGCAGACATTTTTCAATAGTACTGTATGGAGTGTGTGCGCGCTTGTCTGTGTATAGTGAATCCTTCTAGTGCTTATCTGTAACACTGTTACACCAAGCCTTTCCCCTGACAAATGATGCTATTTAGTAGCAAGTGATGCCAGTATTACTGTTATGAATGATACAGTGCACATTAACATTGCCACCCCACACTCTGTAACACGGCTCACATGAGAAGAGTGATGGGTTGGAAGAATCATATCTCTACTTCACCTTTCTCCCTCCTACAGTCCCCTGAACCTCTCTCTGCAAACTCAAATACTGAACTTCCACTTTTACATCTTTGTTCAGACAATAGAGTCAAACCAAAACAGCCAAAGCTGAGCCATCTGTAACAGACCAAGGTGAGCATATGACGAGAACCGAGAACTGAAACAGAACATTTGCCTACCATGCTGACCTGATAGACTGAGATGTGTGTCCTCTCCTGAGCGTTAATGCAAGATTTAAAAAACAAAATACAAACAAAACTCAGACTGTGCATGTACAGTTATCTGGCATCTTGCTTATCACAGTTTTATTTAGTCTCTAAAAACCCCAGGCTCAAGTTGAACTGGTTTCATAAGATACTTCAAAAAATAAAAGTGTGAGAGAGAATGGACAACTTAAGTAGCTCTATTAAATGTAATCTAAAATTTTTAATTGGTAGAAGAAGCTAATGAATAGTGGTTTTGTTCAAAATGGTTTATCTGTGAGGCCACACAGGGGTAAATGTTGGTAAAATACAGTATTGGAAGCATTAAAGTTTAATTAGAGGTGAAGAATGGGTGAGCTAAAAGTGTGAAATGTGAACAATAAAGAGAATGGTAGTATATGGAGGAAAAAAAACAAAGATTTGTTCAAGAAGGTAACAAATACACTCCATTACCATGAGCCATTCTCCCAAAGTTAGAGTAGGACTCCTGCATTAAGACAAAGCATCTTTGCTTCACTGTGACAGGGCTGAAAAACAGATGGCCATAAAACATACAAAATGACAAAACCTATTGAGGCAGGCAACTAACAGAGAGGAGGAGGAGAGGAAGAAAATTAGGAAGGCTTGCTAAACTATACACAACAGCATCCGCATGTTTTTCTCAGCCCAACCTTTTAGAAAAGGAAAAGGGGCCAGTGGGGGCACTAAATCAGCTGCTGGAGGACATCAATCCCAGATGGATCAATAGGAATCATGCCATGTTAGATGGGCACTAGGCTCAGTCCTGCCCTGGGGCCACAGGCTTGAGAAAGAAAAGGGGCTATAGACCAAAGCCCTGTTCATTATGTTGGTGACATCTCTAGACCTCTCATTTATCTGAGAGCTGATTCACTGGGACAGCCACTGTCAGGACTGCAATTTCAGGCATGTTGTGAATTATAGCTTTGAATTTTATGGTACATGGCGGCTTAACGGGTATATGGGTAATGTTCAATATGCTCCCTACTAAAGCAGGGGCAGATAAAAGAAAAGATGAAGTCACCTACAAAACAAAAACTGACTGTGGAGGACAGGGCAGAGAGAGAATCTTGATATTTACTTGCTCTGTGTAAATACTTGATGAACTCTCTCAAGGTAAGACCAGAGAGCCTCAAGGTTGAAGTCACGCAATCAGTAAGCTGATGAGTCAGTATGATGTTACCACACTGTCTATGCACCAACAAAGCAAATCTTCTAGCACATCAACAACGTCAAGCGGAAGTCACGCCACCTCATATCAATCACTCCCATCAAAAATTCACACAGGCAAATACTATGTTCAGCTAACTGGCGGTGTGAGGTCATTCAGTACAGTCCCTGTATTTTGTTCTTTGCTTTAAGGTGCAGCATGTGTCACTTTATATATTACCAAGTGAAGAGAAATTGAACAGAAGCAGTAATTGAAAGCCTTTACATCTGACACATAGATGAATTGTGGTTATGAGACTGTGACGCAGAGCTAAAATGTTGTATACTGTCTAAGCATCAAATCCATTAGGCTTGGAATAACAGGCACAGTGCTAAGGAGCAAGCTTAAAAAACTTTAAAGAAACGTAGTTTCTTTAAAGTTTAAAGTTGGACGTAGTTTTAGGTA